GGGGCATTAAAAAGCATTAAAAGTCCTTAAATGGATTTAGCGAAAATGAAGGCCTTAAAAGGCATTAAAAAGCATTAAATTTCATTCTTACAGGCATAACATTTTTTTTTTTTTTTAGATTTGAAGAGAATTTTATATAAATTTATTTGAATATAGCCTTCATAATTAATCATTTGTATTTGCTGTCGCAAAATATGTACGTTCGTGTGATAAATACGCGGAACCAGTTTGGTAATTGCTTCAGGCCGGAGCAAAAGTGCCGTGATGCGGAGAGGTGACGCCGGTCTGTTGTACAGCGGTGGACAGGTCTGAACCTTGAAAAAATGGGAAAGCACACATTGTATTTCTCACACTGAAAAACTATTTATAATATATTGAATATGCCTCAGCGCCACAAATGTCTCTGGCCGCGCCGCTCTCACTATGGAACCGACAGGAATCAAGCGCGTCTCCCCTGCAGTTCTTACTAGTCGAGCCTGCCACTTATCAGCCAATCAAAAAAAAAGAAAGGGTCTACACATTAGCCAATTAGAAAATAGCACTATTGTATCTGGGTAAGATTCAAGATAAGTCATGATCTCCTGTTTTAATGTTACAAAAAATTCACAACTTGTTTGACACAATGGCAACTTGGTTGCTGCTAGAGAAACGTTTCTCAGATAATTAGTATCAGTTTTTCATGAGTGTCTAACTTAGCCAACAGTTTTACAGTCTGTTCACTGACAACACCTGCTCAGAACAAGTAGTCTAGGCCTAGTCATATTTTCACATTATAAACCTCTCTCTCTCCAAATAGGCTTAATAATTTTATAAGCACTAAATAGTCGGTTATAGGTCACTTTTAAAATCATGTCATATTTAATTCTGTCCGGGCCATGGATGCATTAATCATTGCATCTGTCTTTCAAAGATGTCAGGTAAAAAGCAATTAAGCATCCTCTCATTCGCCCTGAGAGGAAAGCCCCCTAAAAAGGCCAGGCTAGAGGATGCTGGTCCAGAGAAGGTGGCGAAAAGGGCCCATTAGAGGAGACGGTGCCGGTAGAAGAGGAAGAGAATAAATACTTTGTATTTGGTTGAATTGTCAGTGCCATGTGTCAAATCTTCTCTTTTGCAAGTGTGAGCAATTATTAATAACAACAACAAAAACTAATGAAACCACCATTCCTGCGACCCGTCTTTTACGCCGCGAGATGTTTAAAAAATAGTGGGGACAATCGACATGTCCCACCCGCAAATTACACCTGTGTTCCAGAAAAAAAAAAAAAAAAAAAAAATTTATATATATATTAGGGCTGTCAAATGATTAATCACGATTAATCACATCCAAAATAAAAGTTTTTTTTTACATAATATATGTGGGTGCACTGTGTATAATTATTTTATATATATAAATACACACACATGCTTGTATATATTTAAGAAATATTTTCATGTATATACTGTATATAGATTTATATATAATTTATATTATATATAAATATAAATATTTCATATATAAATTATTTTTTGTCTTAAATATACATGCATGTGTGTGTATTTATATATATATATATACAAAATAATTATACACAGTGCACCCACATATATTATGTAAAAAAAACTTTTATTTTGGATGTGATTAATCGTGATTAATCATTTGACAGCCCTAATATATATATATACACACACACACGTGGTTAGTCATGGGTCGTATATGGCATTAAAACATTTTAAAATGGCATTAAAAAGGCATTAAATTTAATTTGAAGATACCTGTAGAAACCCTGTAATTGTACATTTCACTAGCTTTGTTTCCATCCACCGATTTCTTTTCGGATTTTGGGATGTCGCATAAAGTGCTGGATGGAAATTCCATGTTTTTTTTTAATGAGACTTATGCATAAACTACTAGGGGTCGACCGATATGTGATTTTCAGGGCCGATGCCGATACCGATTATTACAGGTCAAATAGACCGATAACCGATATTTTGAACCGATATATATATATATATAAAATATATATATATTATATATATATATATATATATATATACCGATATATATATAAAATATATATATATTATAGCTATGTCTGGTGTAAAACTGTAAATTAATGTCAAAATTAAGAATAACAAAGGGTTTTGACAAATACTTTCTTTAAATGATTTTAAACATATCTTTGAATCTGAGAACTGTTATTAATAATAATAATAACTTGTAAAAAGTGCAGGGAGCACCCAGCAGCTTTCTGTAAACATTTTGTAAAACTTAAAGACTCTATTTTAATTTTTAAATAAAATTTTAGTAATCAAAAAGCATTTCTAATTAATTAAAATCAAACGTATTCAATTTATTTACAGTTTAACAAAAATTAAATTTTTAGGGCCTTGTGAAAAACCGAACTTTTATTTTGACGGGTTGCCGTGGAGATCTTTGAGTTTCTGTGTGTTTATGATATGTCGATAACTTTTCTCAGTTGAAGCATTAAAAAGCTCATGAAGTGACTAAGCGGCTCTGGAGATGATGTTTATGCAATCATGTCCTCATATAATGATGCGGCTGAGGCTGAAAACAGCGCAAGCGTCACGCGTGCTCCTGTGTGTGTGTGTGTGTGTGGTAACTGAAAGCACGCGTCTGCGCCATTCATTTAACTTTAGAGACACGCAGGATTCATATTTAAATAGTCTTTTTGCGGTTTGATTTGTACTGACCTGCTTTTTATTAATTCATCAAAAAGTTGACAAATTCCGTGATATTCCGCTTTATACAGTAAATTCCGTTTTTATGACTGGATTCCGCGACTCCGTCTGTTCTGCATCGCGGAAATCACAGGGCTCTATTATATTGAGGTATTTTGCAACTTTAGTGTAGTAATCTATTGCTTCTTCAGCAAAGTCTGCTGCTGCCTTAACTTTGAGAGACAACTGAAGCGTGATCAGTGAAGCAGCTCTAGTCAGCGAGTGCTCTCTCGGTGTGAGAGTGCAACACTTTCAGTGCCTCAGCTTTCCGTGCTGATTGGCCGGACTCGTGACTCCCAACAAATCAGATGTGCGGGGACATTAGTCTAGTCTACAGAGTGGTGAGTTCCGACAAAGGTGCCTGCGTCAGAGCCAAATATAGCGCATTTCAAAATAAAATTATTTTATCGGCAAATCGGTTTTGAAAATGGCCGATACCGATAACCATAAAAATGCTTAATATTGGCGCCGATAAACGGTCGACCCCTATAAACTACGATGGAAACACGTAAATAACACCAAATAAATCCCTCGATGCTTAACAAAAAATGTCATGTGACTGCCTCAGCAGAGGATGTGATTGGATAACTGGACTAACCAGCGGACCAATCGCATCACAGCATTTCAAATGTTGGTTTGATGGTTCTGAAACGCCTGAGCCAAAGCCTGTCATCAGAGTGATGTGGTTTAATTCCCTCAGTCCTAAATGCGTTCCCAAACACGAGCATCCGAACGCAAGAGAACATGACAGCGTTTATTGCGTTTCCTCTGAGACGCAACTCATTTATGATGGAGGGAAAAAGAGCCACGGTTTCTTCCCCGATTGCAGCAACTTCCTTTTTTATCACTGACATTTTGTGCCAATTTCCCAGGAAGTGCTGATCTTTGTTCTCTTGAACACATGGGATGGAAACATGGACGCTTTATTCACAAATGTTTTATGCGATATTCTAATTTTCTCCACAAGATAAATTCATAACTTTGAATGGAAATGCTGCTAATTTCAAAGAATTTAAAGTTCTTTTTCAAGTATCTCTGCATGTATTTTCTAGTAAAGCGCTGTGTTTTGTGTTGTGTGTTGCAGGAACCCGTCTCTAAAGCAGCAGCTCTTCTCTTACGCCATCCTGGGTTTCGCTCTGTCTGAAGCCATGGGGCTCTTCTGTTTGATGGTTGCTTTCCTCATCCTGTTCGCCATGTAAAATCTGCTAGTTGTGTAAACACATTTAGTGCAGTTATGACCACGTGTTTTAGCTGTTGCATCCAAAACGTCTGATGTTGGTCTCTGCAGGAGGAAAAAAGTGTGAAGGCCACTATGTTAGAAGAAATCATGTAACAATTAAATATTGTTTAACTATTTAACCAAATCTTGTTTATGCCCATTAAATAAGAACAGCAACAGCTTCATGGATATAAAGAACCTGATAGCACTTTCTGTACATCAGAATAGTGAGTGTGTGAGTGTGTGAGTGTGTGAGTGTGTGAGTGTAAGGGTCCACTCAGATGTTTTCAGGGGTTAAACTGCTGGTTGATAGTGTGACTGTAAATTTATAGCAATTGGTTGAAAGCCAATTAAAAGCCACAATTGCATTTGTAAATTGCGTTAAATAAATTTAGATCACAGTTTACCGTTACTCTATGGTGTCTGCTTCATTTTTATATTCATATGCCTTGTGTTCGTGGTATACGTCACCAACAACCAAGTTGAGCTACTTTTGTTTTGGAATGAAGTACATAATCTGTCTAACTTTGTGAAGAGAACTACAGTGAAACGCAAGTTTTTGTGGTAATAACTTTACAATAAGGTTTCATTAGTTATCATGAACTAACAATAAAAAATACTTCTAAAGCATTTGTTATTTCAACATTTACTAAAACACTAAGTTCAAAATATATATTCGTTAATAATATTTAATGGTACTGAGCTACCAATTAACAACTGTATTTTTATTTACCTACGTTTACAAAGATTAATAAAACCTGCAACAAATGTATTGCTCAGTTACTGCATTGGCTAACATTAATAGGACATTAATGTAACTGATTGCCGTTTTGGCTTTGCATTACAGTACAAAATCAGGTGTTAAATCTGATTTAGAACAGGTTTAAAAAAAAAAAAAAAACACGATACACCAAAGCTTATCACTTCAGCTCTAAAGAGGTCAGCAGAGCACACATTTATCGCGAGACAAGAGTTTAAAGGGCTTGGCTCTGGGGCGAGCACGAGTACCTTCGTCTCGCGAGAGTTTGGCACGTGTGTTTTGGCTTTAATAGAGTTCCTAATTCTCGCGAGAGGTGGAATAAGTGGGCTTTGGCTCTTCAGGGTTCAGCCTGCGGGTGAGTAAGCGCATAAATGCACACTATTTATAAACAGACACGCCTTTAAAATAGCTTTCGGTTGGCTAGTAGGATAGTCTGGATATGTAACACAATAAAAACGCAGCTTTATGACATTTTCAGAGCTTGCCTGTATTTCTTTGTTGTTAATATGGCGACGCATGCTAACAGCTAACTGAGATCCCATTGAAATGAATGAGAGATGAGGCTGAGCATTGATTAGCTTGCTGAGACTGTCTGATGTAAACAATCTGTGTAGTGTTGATACAGTCCCGGTGTCGCTGGAAATACACTAAACAATTGCAGGTTTGTGGTTAAAGACACTGGCGCTTTAACTTTAGCGTTGTGATAGTATAGAAATACAGTGATAATTAGAAGGACGTAAAGCCGAATGTGACAATAGGTTGTGTTTTGATATCAGCCTGACCATTAGAGCACATTCACTACTGCATGTGAGTGATTGAGAGGTTTAACAAACACAGACACCAATGTAAAGTATTTAAGTTATATTAAATTATATAGATAGGGATGCGTGATGCCTGTCATTCTACTTTTAATCCTTATCTTATGTGTCCTGTCAAATCTGCTGTGACAGCTTGGTCTGAAACAACACCAGTTCTGTAACAGTAGTGCTGATTAATACTCACTGTTGCTCATGATTATATATTAATGCTGATTGATAAACAGTACCAGACTGGTCAAAAGTTTGGAAACATTTTTTTTTTTAAAGAAGTTTCTTATGCTCATAAAACCTGCATTTATTTGATGAAAAATCATTAATATTGTGAAATATAAATACAATTTAAAAGAATGGTTTTCTTTGTAAATATATAGTAAAGTGTAATTTATTCCTGTGATCAAAGCTGAATTTTCAGCATCATTATTCCAGTCTTCAGTGTCACATGATCCATCAGAAATCACTCTAATATGATGATTTATTATCAATGTTGGAAACAGTTGTGCTGCTTAATATTATAAAAAAAATTATAACCGTTGATACTTTTTTCAGGATTCATTGATGAATAAAAAGTTAAAAAATAAATAAATAAAAAACCCAGAAATTTTCAAAATAGAAATCTTTTCTAACAAAATACATTTTTACTATCACCTTTATATCAATTTGACACATCTTTGCTTAATAAAAGTATTCATTTCTTTCAACAAAAAAAAAGAAAGAAAAAAATGACTAACCCCAAACTTTTGAATGGTAGTGTATACTGTAAAGATTTCTATTTTAAATAAATGCTATTCTTTTTTTTTTACTTTTTATTTATCAAATTATTCTGAAAAAAGTTTAACAGGTTATAAAAAAAACATTAAGCAGCACAACTGTTTTAAACATTAATATAATAAATCATCATATTAGAGTGATTTCTGAAGGATCATGTGACACTGAAGAGTAATGATGCTGAAAATGCATCTTTGATCACAGGAATAAATTACACTTTACTATATATTCACATAGAAAACCATTAATTTAAATTGTAACAATATTTCACAATATTACTCTTTTTTTTTTATCAAATAAATGCAGTCTTGTTGAGCATAAGAGACTTACCGGCAATGTTCCCTCTAATTTTTTTTTCTTGCTGAGCAAAACTTTTTTCTATTGGGCGGACATTTTTCGCCACCTGAGCAAAAATATTCTTTATACCTGACCTGTACAGCATGTAGAAACACAATGGTTTCAACATTCAGTTGTAACTTTTAACTTGAATGTGCCATTTCTATTTTATTTGACCCTTGATGTAACTTATTGGTATACTATTAAATCATATTTTCGAAAAACAAGCTTCTTAACAAATTAAGAAGTCACTAAATGAAGCACATTTTAGGTTACCTGATATTTTTTTTACAGTGCTGTTAACTGTACAGTCTTTACCAAGAAATCCTATGAAAAATAATTTACAAAATCTTCTGCAGGACAGTTCAATTCTTTACAATAATAGAATATAGTATAAAAGAAAAGTAAGCTGTTACACTGAGATGGTTTGGGAAAACCATAAAGTGTTTTTGACAGTCAATTAATTGTGTACAGGAAGCATTAAATCATCAAAGTTAAATGATTGTTTATTGCTTATGAATTTCCAATATTTTCTTTAGCAGGGGGTTTCAAACTTTTTAATGGCAAGGAGCCCTAAACAATACCCTTGTGAGATTCTTTATTTAGGCTTATAATATAATAAAATATAGGCATAATATAATATAAAAAAAACGAATTGAAGTATTTGAAGTGATATAATATATCAGTTTAAATGCTTAAATTTGTTAACATATTATATTATTATGAAAACAAAGCATTTAAATAGATCTAATAGCTAAATATTTTTCAAGAAAAATTAATATAATCTAATCTTTTATAATCTAACCATCCCTGAAACTCCCCCACAGACAAAAACATCTATTTAAACTATGTATTTTGAATTTGCACGCGGGTGGGTGTGTAATTGTTACCGTTCTGTGTCCATAACCGTTATTTCCACCAGTTTAATCAAACCACTCTTCTTTAAAACATTATGATTTTATTTTATTTCACATGTCTATGCGTTTCTCGTTGCCTCTCGTATTGAGCTATTTGGTCCGCACACACGACTCACTGCCAATCACACGCGCTCACATCATTCTCTTTCTATGAAACCTGTAAACTGCATTCACCAGTTTTCTCTCTATAGCGGTTGACCAGAGCACTGCAATTATTTCTCACTTAAACTACAATCAAATGGATTTCCCCACACGTTTCGCGTCAGTCCTCTGTGTGTCATTTTATTCTTTTCTGCGCATCAGAAGTGCGCAGCCGCGCACGCGCGCAGCTTAGAGGGAACATTGCTTACCAGTAGTCAAAAACATAAAAAATTAGCAATGTTTCTAAACTTTTGACCGGTACTGTACAAGTCATGTGTTTTTGTTCTTAGCTGTGGCTTTAAATCATTGTGTTGTTGACTAATGAAAAGTGTCATGTCCCCCATGTTATCAGGTGGCAGACTGAAGCTGTGAATATGAGTGATGATAAACCGTTCCTCTGCACGGCTCCTGGCTGCGGACAGGCATGTGATCACTGACTTAAAAACACTAACCCACACTTAAATAAACACTGCAACTTAGTGACATGCTTGCTGTCCATTTCCTTTTCCACATGCTTTTCTCCTCTACATATTGACTGTTTGCCTGCAACAGCGATTCACGAATGAAGACCACCTGGCGGTGCACAAACACAAGCATGAGATGACCCTGAGGTTCGGTCCGGCTCGCAATGAGAGTGTCATCATCGCCGGTGAGTCACCTGATCGTCACCAGTGTTGTGCTAGTTACTAAGAAATAGTAACTAGTTACAGTTACTAGTTACTTCATTCAAAAAGTAATTACTTTGTTGATTACTTACACCAAAAAGTAATGCGTTACTGTTAAAAGTAACTTTTTAGTTACTTTAAAAAAAATCTTTCTTTAATGTTCCCATTAATGCCCTTTTATGCGTTATGGTCTATACAAACACAAAACTGACTTAAACAGAAAGTAATTTTTAAACACTATTTTATTTAAGTCAGACCAGCACAAACTGAATATATCACAAGGATTTCTGATGCCGACTCGCGATCTTCGCAGTAGTGAACGCGCCAGAGAGAAATGCACATTTCACACGGATCACATAAGCAGAGAGCAGTCTGTAGTCTGTTTTCTTTCGTTTTGAATTGTTCTGTTTAAAAGTAGACATGTCTGTGAGGCAAGTAGGCTACCTTATACGCCGAGTTTCGGTTAATTTATGAGACGAGCTCCAGTTCACGCGCCGGCGCCTCCATTTCGTGATTATCTATCGCATACATGGGCAATATACGGCCCGGGGGCCGGATCCGGCCCGCATAGTGCTTCATTCCGGCCCCCGCGATGCGCTCGCAATTTGGATGAAACACACGCCGCCTTCAGCCGCGCTGGAAGCTGTTCCATGACATTTCTCGTATATGTGTTGTAGCCATTAAAGAAAACATATTTAGTTTAATGTTTAAATATTATATAGGCTAATGTTATTTTTTTATTTAATCAATGTTGATTATGAAAGTGAGCATGCAGCGTGAGAAAGATATGATACATGATCATGAGATGCGCAAAATGTCTGGAGACATGTCACATGGAGTGGGAAAGACATGATTTTGAACACTTCATTGAGGTTTGTTTTGTAGAAAGATTTTTCTTTTTAAAAGATTTTCGTTTTGCATAAATTGTATCTTAATTTTGATAAATGTTTTATCAACCAATTGCCTATATTTAATGAATAAGAAGTAAATATATAGCAGACAATGAAAGGCGCCGGCGATCACTTGCATTGCACGTGAACTGGAGGGCGCCGAAACTCAGCTTGTGCCTCACATATTTGAGAAATATAGGCTATCTATTATAAAAGGCTTGAAATATACTTTTAAACGAAACTATTCAAAACGAAAAGAAATAGGCTACTCTCTGATTATGTAATCAAATGTGCATTTCTCTCTGGCGTTCATGGCGAGTCCGCATCGTCAACTTCAGCTTTGTAGTGACACAGAAAAAAACAGTTTATTAGTAAACAATTAAATGAAACCTTGCTATTTTTGACACATTAATAATCATTACTTTCGCCGGCTTTTTGTGGTTGAGTGCGGCTATATTAGGCTACGTATAAACGCTCATCCTGTATAGCCTATTTGAGTAATTAAATTAATATAAAGGGGCGATGTGTCCACTAATGGCTAAAATGAACTACTAGTCGACTAGAAAAAAACTTTAGTCGGAGGCAGCCTTTATTCCAGATATTTTCGAACCAGCAGGACATTCTGGGTTGAGCGAGCGACCCTGAGCGCAATGAGCGAGCGGAGCGGAATATTCAGAAATGCGCTCTCCGCTCATGCTCTGATCGGCACAAACTAAGCATGACAAATTCAAACTTTATTTAATTTTCTCCGTAGCTTGAACACTCACTACATTATCAAACACAGTATGCTGATGCTATGATGAGAGGGGCTCTCAAGCAAACTTGAGAGTTTGCTTTCAAGCAAACATAGGTGTGATGAAGTTGATTCGCACTTAAATTGTGTTCTATTTTATAAAAGATTTAAACAAAATATGTGAAAGAAGTTACAAAAAAATGAATAATCACAACTGAAATCAGCTGATTATGTCTTTCATTCAGTGATGAACGTCTCACTCTGGAGGTATATAACCTCAATTAAATTTGATAATTCCAAGCCAGATTGCCTGAAGTCTGTATTTAATGTAACCTGCACACATATATTTGCAGTTTTGTTAATAGTTTTCTATCTTGAATTGTTCAACAGAATGACAGTTGAACAATATGCAGGGTAGTAGGAAATGAATCCTTGAAAGTAAATCCAGTTGTTGTGGTCAGAAAATAAATAAATAAATATCAGGCCTTGAAATAAGCTGGCCTTATACATATTTGCATTGAATTAATTTGTACCATTTAATAATGTAACTATGTTTAATTGCAATTGTCCAAAGTGTGGCCCTCCGTTTACTTTGCCAAAGTAACTGTGGCCCTCAGACTAAAACTGTTGCCCACCCCTGATCTATCGTCTGCTATATTTACTTCTTATTTATTAAATCCAGGCAATTGGTTGATGAAACATTGATTAAAATTAAGATACAATTAATACAAAGCGAAATTCACTTTAAAGAAAGGTTTTGTGTTTTCTGTTTGATGTCTCTGCAAGTATTAAAGCATCTTTTAGTGCCGCTTTCAGAGCGCGTCGCGTCCGTAACGGGGAACTGTCACGTCCGTAACATTGTTTTTTCCTCATAAATGCGAACACTAAAAATAAAATAAAATGAATATTTTGTTCTGTGGAGACTGAGAGCCAACCCTTCTTCATTCGGTGGGTAGTAGTTTGCGCAGTGTAATTCACATAATTACTAAACAATATTTATTTTAGGCCTATAAAATTCAGCCCGTATAAATGTGCATTTTCTAAGCTTAGAAAATGGACAAAATTCATTTGATTCTAATCATAATGTAACATTATTGTGAAATTGATTTTATTTATAGGCTATTTGCTATTAGTATAGTAAAGCCTATGTTTTTATCCAACTAGCCTATGTGTGGGCCTTATGTAAAATACGGGACAAATCGCGTCCCTTATTGATTTGATACGGACGCATCATTTTACTTGTAAATACCGGACAATTCCGTATTTTAAGGAACGGGTGGCAACCCTAGCACCAATCCTACAATGCGTCGCTGCTGTAAACAGGTTAGGCTGTAGGCTACACTTCAGCCAAAATTAATTAATTTAAAAAAGTAACGGACAAACGCACCATATGGTAACGGTAACGGAGTTAATTTATTTAAAAAGTAATGCGTTACAGTATGAGTTACTGTCAAAAGTAACTGCGTTACAGTAACGCGTTACTGCCCAACACTGATCGTCACAATAGAGGAAAACACACTCAAGCTACAGTTGTTCTTGGGTTTCTGGGTCTCTTGGCTGCTGTTGCAGACCAGACGCCGACGCCGACCCGCTTCCTGAAGAACTGCGAGGAGGTCGGGCTGTTCAACGAGCTCACCGGCCCGTTCGAGCATGACTTCAAGAAGGCCACCGAGGATGACATTAAAAAGGTAAAGATGCAGTTTATTCTGCAATTTATGTGATCATTTTCCAAATACACTATAATTTAAAAGGTTCGATTTTTTCCGAAGTATTTTATGCTCACAAAGTGTACATTTGTTCGATCAAAAATGCCGTAAAAACAGAAATAACTGTTGAATATACTTTAAAATGTAGTTTATTCCTGTGACAAAAAGCTGAATTTTCAGCATCATTACTCCAGTCTTCAGTGTTACATGATCCTCATTCAAATATGCTGATCATGTGACACTGAAGACTGGAGTGATGATGCTGAAAATTCAGCTTTTTGTCACAGGAATAAACTACATTTTAAAATATACTCAAAATTGTAAAGTGTAATAATATTGCACAAAATTACTCTTTTAAAATATATCAAATAAATGCAGCCTTGGTGAACATGAAATACTTATATATATAATATCCAACCGACCTCAAACATATAGAAATAGAAAGCATTTCTCATTATTAATATCAATGTTGAAAACTGTTGTTCTGCTTCATAATGTGTGTGAAACCTTGATGCACCTTATTTTCAGCATGAATAGAAAGTTCAAAAGAACATTTATCTGAAATAGAAACATTGTGTAACATTATAAATGTCTTTACTGTCACTTTTGATCAAATGAATGTGTCCTTGCTTAATAAAAGTATTCATTTCTTCTTTAAATAAATGAAAAATCTTACTGACCCCAAACTTTTGAAATATAGAGTGAGTTAAAGGATTAGTTCACTTTAAAAAAAATTTACTGATAATTTACTCATAATTTGTCATCCAAGATGTCCATGTCTTTCTTTCTTCAGTCGAAAAGAAATTAAGGTTTTTGATGAAAACATTCCAGGACTTTTCTCCATATAATGGACTTCAATGGGGTCCAAACGGTTCAAGGCCCAAATGACAGTTTCAGTGCAGCTTCAAACCTATTTTTGTACAGTCTATGCTTTAAACGATACCAGACGATGAATAAGGGTCTTATCTAGCGAAACGATCGGTCATTTAAAATAGAAATAACAAAGTTTACGTTTTATAAGCACAAATGCTCGCCTTGCTCAAATCTGTGATGCGCGTTCGTGACGTCACGTAATACGCAAATACGTTGAAAAGGTCTCACAGAATAGAGCAAGGCGAGCATTTGTGCTTATAAAACTTAAACTTTTTTATTTATTTTTTAAATGACCGATCGTTTCGCTAGATAAGACCCTTATTCATCGTCTGGTATCGTTTAAAGCTGCACTGAAACTGTCATTTGGGCCTTGAACCGTTTGGACCCCATTGAAGTCCATTATATGGAGAAAAATCCTGGAATGTTTTCATCAAAAACCTTAATTTCTTTTCGACTGAAGAAAGAAAGACATGGACATCTTGGATGACATGGGGGTGAGTAAATTATCAGCAAAAGTTTTTTTTTTAAAGTGGACTAATCCCTTAATAGGCACTATTATTCTATTCTTATTTTGCATGATTCATCATTTATAATCTTCCATCAAAATGAAACTAATTTAATCGAACATTTTAAAATCCATTTAAACTCTCCTGGAGTATAGTGAGTTGAAGGCATGATCAAACGCTGTTGTGTGTGTGGTTGTTGCAGTTGCCTCTGGACTTGTCTCCGCTTGTGACTCCTGTTGTTCGAAACAAGATAGAGGAGCACACAGCCATCGAGTCGCACCGGGACAGCCCCCTCCCCCACCCCGAGTCCACCACCACCGACGACAAGGTGAGACGAGAGCTTCATCCGCGCGCCTCAGGCCATCCTGCTTGTGCCTGGTTCAGATTACACGATTCGTTTGTCTGTTACGATAGTCACGGTGTCAGATTACGAGATTTTGACTCCTAAAATACTGCCGTGTCGTGGACAAGAAACATGTCAGACTACACACACAGATACACACACATTCACTCGCACACATACAGTACATACACACACACACACTCACTCAAACTCACTCGGTCACACTCTCACTCGCACACACTCGCATACATGCACACACTCTCACACACACGCATTCACTCACACACGCACACTCACTCACTCAAAACTCACTCGCTCACACTCTCACTCACTCACACACGCACACTCACTCACTCAAACTCACTCTCTCACACTCTCACTCACACACACATGCACACTCACTCTTGCTCACTTACTCACACAAACACATGCACACACTCACACAAACACACGCACACACTCACACAAACACACGCACACTCACTCACTCAAACTCACTCTCTCACACTCTCACTCACACACACATGCACACTCACTCTTGCTCACTTACTCACACAAACACATGCACACACTCACACAAACACACGCACACACTCACACAAACACACACACACTCACACAAACACACACACACTCACACAAACACACGCACGCACACACTCACACAATCTCACTCGCTCACACTCTCACTCACACACACACGCACACTCACTCTTGCTCACTTACTCACACACACACACACACACACACACACACACTCACACAAACACACACACGCACACACTCACACACTCACTCACTCAAACTCACTCGCTCACACACACGCACACTCACTCACTCTTGCTCACTCACACGTGCACTCACTCACTCACTCACAATCACACACTCACTCCATCTCACTCGCTCACACTCTCACTCACTCACACACTCACTTGCACACATACATACATACATACACACGCACTTACTCACTCACACACACACTCACTCACACACTCACTCACTCAAACTCACTCGCTCACACACACGCACACTCACTCTTGCTCACTCACACGCGCACTCACTCACTCACTCACAATCACACACTCACTCACTCTTGCTCACTTACACACACACATACACACACACACACACACTCACTCACTCATACACTTACTTGCACACATACATACACACGCACTTACTCACTCACACACACACACACTCACTCACTCACTCACTCACACACACACACACTCACTCACTCACTCACTCACTCACTCACACACTCACTTGCACACATACATACACACTCACTCACTCACACACACAGTCACTCGCTCTTGACAGAACCCGACGTGGAGGACTGAAAAAAAAAATTAAACATGCTAGTCTTTTTATCGCGATGTCGTGAAGCATCGCAGGCGCTAGTCGGTTACCGTCCACTATGACACACTATACGAGATGAATCGATCGAATCTTGCGTCCCGTTGTCGTTTACGAATCCCCACGACACCCTACGTCAAACAGGTCGTGCCAAAATCAGGCTAAAATCGTGTAATCTGAACCAGGCATTAGTGCTTGTCATTTACCAGGCTTTTTTTCAATGCTACGGAACTAATTGCAAGGAAAGTCCCTAGGCTCATATTGTGCAGAGTCGTGTGGTCTGGGTTCCTGGGTCTCCTCGACCTGTGTTTGAACCTGCACCCTTTGTGTTCGCAGTCCCGACTCATGCGCCCGCCGTCTACCCGTGGAAGCTGTCAGCTTCTGTTAGCTTGTCCTGGAGCTCCTTGCTTTTAGATGAAATAAAATCAGTGGTGAACCATCTATGAGAAAATCTCTTTGTTGGACAGAGTGTGTGAGAAAGATGGGACTTCCTTCCGTCCCAATTCAGCCAATATGCTGACTCTGACTTTAAAATTGAAGCTATAAGATCTATAATAATTAACATTCACTTTGAGAACAATGTGTATTTACCTTCAGCTCTAATGTGAACTCTATGCAGAGAATATAACTTATTCAATACTTATTTCTGTAACACTTTATTTTAGTGTCCTTGTTACATATTACATATAGTTACTGTAATAATAACTATAAATTATGCATAATTACATGCAACTAACCCTATAGTAATTACATGTAGTTAATTATTATTACTCAGTATGTGAACATTTTTGTTAACATGGGCAAACGGTGCATAATCTATTACGTATGTGCTAATTTGCATAAATACCACAACATATATTGAGGATACAAAATCAGTTGAGTTTGCTTCTGTTGCAATTTGTTCAAGGTTGACCCCCATTTTGGCTTAAAATGACTGGATCATTGTTTCTTGACTCTTTCCAGCTGTCTCTGTCATTCAACAACTCTAAGGCACAACAAATTGTGGTCTCTTGTATGTGGGCTATGGAAGCTTGTTTCCGCCACAGAATGAAAAATAAAAAAGGTAATTGCGACTTTTTATCTCACAATTCTGACTTTATTTCTCAGAATTGCGTGAAATAAAGTCTCAATTGCGTGTTATAAAGGCAGAATTGCGAGATATAAAGTCAGAATTGATTGATTTAAAGTCAGAATTGATTGATATAAAGTCGCAATTGCGTGTTATAAAGTCAGAATTGCGAGATATAAAGTCAGAATTGCGAGATATAAAGTCAGAATTGATTAATATAAAGTCGCAATTGCGTGTTGTAAAGTCAGAATTGCGTGAAATAAAGTCGCAATTGCGTGTTGTAAAGTCAGAACTGTGAGATATAAACTATTCTGAGGGGAAAAAGTTAAAAAGTCTTCTCTTTTTTTCCCTTAGAATTGGCCTGATAACACGCAATTGCGAGTTTATATCTTACAATTCTGAGAAAGATGTCAGAATTGCGAGATGTAAACTCGCAATTGTGAGAAAAAAAGTCAGAATTGTGAGATAAAAAAGTTGCAATTCTGTCTTTTTTTCTCTCGCAATTGCGACTTTATTTCCATAATTGCGACTTTATATCTTGCAATTGCGACTTTATTTCTCATAATTGCGACTTTATATCTCGCAATTGCGACTTTATTTCTCAGAATTGCGACTTTATTTCTCAGAATTGCGACTTTATATCTTGCAATTGCGACTTTATTTCTCAGAATTGCGACTTTATATCTCGCAATTGCGACTTTATTTCTCACAATTGCGACTTTATATCTCGCAATTGCGACTTTAATTTCTCACAGTTGCGACTTTATATCTCGCAATTGTGAGATAAAAAGACGCAATAAAAAAAAAAAAAAAATTTCATTCAGTGGCGGAAACAAGCTTCCATAGTGGTGTGAAGGCTACTAGCTCAGTCAGGAACAGCATGAGAGCAGTGATGGACAGACTCAGAAGTGCAGGTGTGTGTGAGCGGTTGATGCAGCTTGGCTCTCGTGTGGTGTTTTCAGGAGGTTTCTTTGCAGCCGATCTCCACTATAGTCCGTCCTGCCTCCCTCCAAGTCCCAAATGTGCTTCTGGCCAGCTCTGAGGCTGGTGTTGTTATTCAGCAAGCTCTCCCATCTCCAACATCTAGCTCTGTTATAACCCAGGTCCCGTCCTCTAGTAGATCCATAGTGTAAGTAACTTCTAAACTGCTTCTCTCCTAGTTTGACATCATTGTCTCCTTTTACGCCTCATTTGGTGTTTCATTTTGGTCACTCATTTACTTGGAGAATTTATGATTTCGTGTAATTTGCTTGTGATCCATGTGCCTTTACTTTCACCTCATAGATTTGATATGTTCTCGATCATTAGACCGGTTTTATTTGAGCCTTTTGTTTCGTTTCACACAACAATTGAAGAGAAAATTCATGCTGTTGTTGT